CATTATTATTGTCTGGTGAAAATAGCAAGGGTTTAAAGTAAGCCATTTTCTCTATAAAACTAGATACAAGCTAGGATTAGCTTGTGATAAAATTCCCATCTAGATAATGCTCTTCCTTCAGCTGGGTCACTAAACAACTTAGGATACGGCCACATCTTTCTGATTCAGTCATTAAGTGAAACGGTGCAAGAGAATTCTGCACTTTAAGGCTTATGCCATCCTACATTTTCAATCTTCTAACAGTACAAGAATGCTCAAATATGAATTCCAGTGAAATAAATGCCTTAAACTCTGGTCTTGACTCCTAAAGCCTAACACAACTTGCCAGCATACTTAAAAAAACCACCAAAACAACAAACCCAGAAAAGAAAAAGGAGAGAAAAAGAGAATCAAAATGCAGTTCTAGAAAGTCTATTGCAATAGTAGCAGATGGTATTCTGAGCTCCAGTGCAAGGACACTTCGAAAGAAATTAAATGGCATCAGACTTACCTGATGTAGAGGAGAGTAGTCAGGAGAAGGAGCTGGGATGGCTCTGTGGCCCCGCTCCTTTTATACAGCGCTTCAGATCGCCTCGGGGGGCTGAGGCACGCTGCGCCCATGAAGTCATAATCACCAACCAGCCCAAATTTGAAGTACGCATAACTTCCCAACGTGACGAAACTGTTTTCGCTTGCCGTTTGCAAAATCACCCTAAATCTCTGAAGAGCATGATATGCACATTCCAGCTCCCGGTTCTCTTTCATCTTGAAGCCTAATTGACCAGCTTCGTTGCTGGTATCATTCCACCCTCCTCACTGGCGTTGCAGGAGGAATTAAACTGGTTCTATTTATTTAGCACTTCCTTCATTAGCTTCCCGTAATGATTTTAATCAGAGCCATAACCTGCTGTCGTACACATGTTTGCATTTAAGTGCTTTAGATCTAGGCTGCAATCTAATCGCACATTTTGCAACGTTCAGTGAGGTGGAAGACACCTTCTGATCCTTTTCCCACCCACAGCCACAAAAACACGAGAGATGTCCTGTACCTCTCGTAACCACAGGCATCGTCCAACGCTCTTCGATTTAGAAATTCTGAATTTTCCTTGTTGCCTGGCAAGACGAGTGAAACACATAGTATTTTAGCACCTGAAACAGCATTGAAACTAAAGGCTAGAGTTTTATCTGAAGGGATATTGGTTTTTTTTCCCCTATTTTTCAGCTGGAGTCTGCAAAGACACACAGAGGTTACCTCGCAGGTTCAATGTAAAGTGGCTGCAAATACAGATTAGTAGTTACAGATTAGTAGTTACTAGCTCCTCTGTATCGACATTGCACTACTCTGATGGAAGATTTAACACACGACGGTGGTGAAGCCGGTGCAAATTTCTCTATTTCTTTGTGAAACTACATATTTCTGTCTACCACTGCGTTCAGTCGGCCTATACTTTTTTCTTTTGTTCATATGACAGAGCGTAGTCCTTAGACCTACTCCTTCACCTTACGAAGGAATCGAAGCAGTTTCACCAGAGAAACAATTTTTGAGGGCTTCCTTCTCAGATTTACCAAGTGATAGGAAAACCAATGGAATTATCCAAGGAATAGTTATTCCAACAATGGTTTCTTTCATCTTTTCTCTTCTTTCTTTCCTGATGGGCAGGATACCATCTGCATATTGTGACAGAGTCAAATTTTAACTGCCAGGATTTCAAATAATTTGTCACTTGAAATTACTCAGGCTTCCCTGATACTTAGTGGGGAGGGACAAGAATTTCCGCATGACAATTCATCCCCTCTCAGACGCTTACCTTGCCAGAACTGGTATCACCCTCAAAACGTCATAATTTTGTTTTCGTTGACTATGGAGACAGAAAACAAGCTAAACTGAAACACCCGGCTTTTAAACAGGGGAGGTTTGGAGAGGTGTGAGCCACCCATATTCCAGTTTTCTGGAATTCTGTGTAATAAACAGCCTCAGAAATCCTCAGCTGGATTAGTTGTTTGTTCGACACCACAGCATTTCTACCAGAAGTTAGACTTCAGCTATGAGGTTCTTTTTTTCCAGACTCTGAGATGGCCTTCGGGGATTATAAGAGCAATAATGCTCACAAAGGGCATTCATATTCTTGTGTTTGTGTGTTTTTAAGCACTTCCCAAACTCTTCTTAGTAGTTTATGCATGAAGTAGTGCTCAATATTGGATCCAAACAGCCCAACATTTTGAAATATTTTTATTAAATTGTACTGGTCAAGTGCAATCTTCCAGTTCTCTTTACCATCTCCTGATTTCTAACCTCAGGGTTTCGGTTGATTTGCTTTTCTAATTTAGGTTTTTAAAGCTTTGCCTAGTCTAACTGTGAGTGATCCACCTTTCTTCTGTGTTTTAAATACATGTTCAACTTCCTAAAATTTACATTTAATGAGTTTAATCTAACAAAATATTTCCCTTTGTTATGACCAACAAATTGACCTCTGAAATTTAAAAAAATAAATAAAAATGGGTAATCTGGGAGACAAGGCATGCGTCTGGATGATATTTAAAAGTACTTCAACACATTATCTTTTGATTTTTCTTCTGAAAATTACAGGACAATCCAGGCCAAATCTGAATTGCAACTTCATTTAAGAGTTGCTGATTTCACAAGAAAGACACCATGTTTTGTATCAATTAGACTTTATCTAGCATGGGTAAGGAAGAAAAATGCGCATTAAAGCATGTGGCGATCGTGATTAACATTTGAGCCACTGTCATTATGTCAGCCAATAAAAGAAGAGGTAAATAAATGAAGCCAGTGTAACTCCTCCTGTCATTCTACTGTATTTAATGGACTTTACCAGGAATGAGTCTTGCCAATTAAGTGCTGAGATGAAAGAACTATTTCTTTTGCAATTTGCATTTCATGCAGCGTGAGAATTTGAATCGACTAATAAACATAAATATTGAGCAAAACGGTTTCATCATTTTGAGGCGAACCATGTGTGATAAATACGGGCTGGTGCTCACAGGAGTCTCAGGTTCTTCAGATTTGAGGAAATCGATAGAAAGTCCCTCCTCAAAACTGTGAGGACAGTCATAGGATAAAAGCAACCAGTTGTCTGAGGCAGCGTTTGACTTTATTCCTGTGTTTCCCCTACACAATGATTAACCATCACTTAAAAATTGGGGTTTTTTCTTACAGAAATTTGAGGACTTCTGTGCACAGCTGCAAATAGATCTTGGCAGGGTAGCTACAATTAGGTGGGGTGAATCTGGAGCTCAAATAGTGTTGCAGGGGATCCAGACTGCTGTGTCTTTCATATTCCCATGAAATCTAAGTTTTTCTTCCTCTTCCAGGGGAATTTGTGCTGCGTTACACTTGCACTCAGGGGTGTTTCCAGCTGGTCAATTCACGTCCAGCACCAAGAGCTTCAAGGAGCTGACTTTCCTGACCTGAGGGCACTGGCTCAGCCACAATTCATTGTCATCACCTTGCTCAGATCCTTCCTTGAGGACAGCCTGGCAGGATCTGTTAGCGCCCATACTTAAAGGCTCCTTTTGTTACGGGAGCTGTTGTTATGGTAGTCTTTACCACAGCACACGTTCTTACAGATTTTTCAGGTCCTGGCAGCAAGCAGAACATTCCTTCTGGCTGTTGTTTTGATATGGGATGCCACTGTGGAAGCTGTGGGTCTTGCTGAAAGATCTATTCAATTTACCAGAGGCAACCAAATGAAACCAAATCAAAGGCAGATTTAGAGCTGATTTGTCTGGTAATGAGTGTTGAGAAGTTACAGAAAGAGTGGAGCTGAGTATTCAGAGAAGCTCTTGTCTTTCTTCCTTCATATTATGCCTTTGGTCTCTGGTCAGATGCTCTTTGAACACTGCTACCTTTTGCTGAGCCATACTTTTTACTGTAGTAAAATACGTAGCCTCAGATCTTTTGGCAGCAGAATCATGTAAAGAAAACTACCTCATGAGATAAGCATCTGCTTGAATCAGGAGTTGGTTACATGCTTTACTGATAACATAAAAAGATATGCAATGTATGGTGCAGTCGTTTGATTCAGTTTTAGGCTGCCTATATATTTACACAAAGTCTGTTTGGAGTCTATCTAAACTTAAACAGAACCAGAAAAGTCCCAAACCCAGGAATTCCGCCAGGTATACCATGAAACTATGAACACGGTTGTTACCGTGGTTTTGAAGAACTGTTATCTCCACACAACCAGAATTTTGGAGAGTGAGACCATTTAACAGTATGGATCTAGGCTGGTCTATGCTAGAGAAATAGAGAATCTGAAATCCATTTAATATCAGTCACCAATCTTCCATTCAGAGCTGTGGTGGTAAAATGATCTGTACTACCTTGTCTTCCAAGTCTGCAGGGAATAAGCAAGAGCTTAACTTTCAGAGTGTGAAAGGGTCACTTGCAGGTCTGAGAATTATCTCACAAAGTCATGAGTGAGGAGTTTAATGAAGCACTGTGTAGAGAAGGCTGCTGTTCATCTACGGGCAGCATGTTGTGACCACGTTGTTGCAATTCAGTGGTGAAACAGGCTGAGCAAGGGCTCCTCGTGGAGACTTTCACTACATGGGCAGGGTTTGCACAACGTTGCGGCAGCCAGATGTACAGAAAAGGTTGCAAATTCAGAATGGACGAGAGCACAAAACTGCAACACACGTATTTTTAAATGATGCAACGGAATTTTAATAAGAAGGAAAAGAACCAAACTACATTGCAGTGGCAAGGATGCGTTCTCAAGATGTCAGAGGCAAGTGCGTTTTGAAAGGCGCTGTTGAACGCCTCACTGCATTCACTCACAAGCATGATAAAGTAGAAGATGACAAGGAATTGGGTCCATGAAGATATCAGGAAAGAATTCAAAGGAAAAAAATAAACAGGAGAGGCACGGAGTATGCAGAAGGCGCTGCGCTGAGCAGGATTCGTGAGGGCTTTCACAAAGTTGTTGCTCATCCGCTCGCTGGTGATTCTGCAGTTGGATTTTCACTTGCACATCACTCCGTGGATTTTCCTGTTGGGTTTAGCAGGGCCAGCAGCTGCCACGGCCGTACCTGCCATACCAGGAAGAGTAAGGGCTGCAATAACCAAAACCGTAGGGTCTACCATACAGGCCCCCATAACCAAAAGAGCCTCCGTAGCCATACAGGCCCCTGTAGCCCAGAGAGCCGTAGCCCCCGTAGCCATAACCCAGCCCATAGCCCAGGGAGCCGTAGCTCCCATAGACCCCGTAGCCCCCAAGGACAGGGGCTCCAGAGGATCCCACAACTGAATCCTGGGGGAAGGAGCTGAGGATGGGGCCGGGGAAGGTGACGACAACTGGGGGTGGCGGGAGCAGAGTGGGGGTGTCGGGTGGATTAAAACACACGGTTCGTTTCAGCTGTCAGCGAGGGGCTGGGGGCGGCTGACGCCACAGGCAGAGGTGGAGCAGAGGTCGTAGCAAGACATCTCGGAGGGATGGAAGTGAGCTGCAACACACACCCATGAGTAAATGAAAGACATAAATGCAGTGGGAAAATAAGTTAGAAATCAGACACAGGGACTAAAATAATGGCTGTGTCTTTCAAGTCTTATTTGTCCTTTCTTCCGTATTTTTTGTGAGTTTAGTGGTGGACATGGCAGTGCAACTGTTGGACTCCATGATCCCAGAGGTCCTTTCCAACCTAAACAATTCTATGATTCTAAGAGACAACTCTCTGTTGTCAATCAGTGTTGCCCAGATTGAGCACTGAGCAGTCATCTCTGCCCATTCCTGATGTCTTGTACCTGGTTCCATTTCAGAAGTAGTTCTTTGTCCTACCCCACTGCCAAACTGCAAAAATAGTGATTGAACAAGCCCTCTGCTGATGTTTTGGAAGCTTCTTTGTTAACTCAAATTTGTATTAGTGGGAAACTACCATTTTTGAAAAACTTAATTTTACCATTTTACATGGATGCCCAACACCAAAAATCAAATCATGACAAAATAATCCAGCATTATTATGAATCTTAGAATACATATGGATGATTCCAAACTTAATTAAAACTGGCAGAGAAGAGCTACTAGAATTGTAGGAAGGAGATTGCATAGAATGTTACTTACCTTTTTCACGGAGGTGAATAAAGCAACAAGGCGGAATGAAGACCTCGGAGCTGGGAGAGCTTTTATACAGTTCCCCAGCTGATGGGGTTCACCCAAGGTGCAATTTAGGCATGTGCATAATTGGGGCAAACCCAAAACTAATATGACACGTAGGTCCTCAAAGTTTTGCTGACTATTTGTTTATTTGTTAGTTCGAAGTCTCGTGAAATAGGGTAGGCGCGTTTCATCACAGAAACCTCTTTCATCTCAAGTGGTTACGTGTCACACTCATTTCTGTTATCATTCCATTCACATCCTCGGCATTACAACAAAAATTACCGTAACGCTCTTCAGTAGCTTCTCCATTATTAATGGCAAAACGCGGCTGCACGCTGCGTGGCTGGATTTTCATATTTTCCATTAAATCCACACTCTAAGCCACCTGGAGATAAAATGGTGTTCCATTAGAGCAACTTGGGGGTCACCATTTTTATCGTTATCATTTGTCCTCTCAGCTTTTAAGGTGAGACCAATAGTGCACCCTAAAGAAGCCGTAGAAAACATCCTGTGCTCCTTAAAGCCTTTTCTATCATTTGGTTTTTGCTCCTGAACACAATGTTGGCTTCATCTGACAAATGAGGCATCCGCAGAAGTACCTCTTGCTTTCTCCTTTGTACATTCGGCCATGGATGACCCTCAAACTCTCAAGTCCTTCAGACCATTTTAAGCAGGAGGCAGAGATAGAACATCCTTTTAAACTACTCAGATTTTTCTAACAGGTCCCTCTCAATGTATTTTTGATCCAGGTTGGAGTCTACAGGCAAACTAATGCCCTTTCTGGTTCTTCAGGGATTGGTTTTTAGGTCCATCTTCAGATCAGGCAATACTGAAGACAACTGAGAAATGAAACTAAAATTAAATAGGACTGATGGCAACTTGCTAAAGCTGTTTGGACATAGATCATGATAGAGAAATTATTTACATGGATAAAGGATGATCACTGATAGAATTGTACCATCTCAAGAAAATAATGAAATCTTCTGTTTCTGTGGTCTGATGACCAGCTGAAAATAATGACACACTGATTATCCAACTTCTGAAATGCTGTATTTTATTTAAAAGTTGATGTTTAATTCCATAATTTGACATCGAAAAACCCCTTAAGATACACAAACCCCCAATATTCAGACATAAAGTGATCATACCAAGGACACAGATACTTTGACTTACATATTTTAATGTGATGTCATTCCATAATTGCTAGGCACCTAAATCCAGGTACATGCCTTTAATCTAATTGTCGGAACGCATTCTCAAGCCATTAGTGAATAGTTTGTGGCATTTGAAAAGACTTGCTCCCTGGAAGCTTGAAAATATCATTGTCTAAAACACTTTTAACCACCTCAAAGGTTGAGAAACCCACCTCATAATTCGGAGATAATCTATGGCATAGAGTCTGCAGGACTGAAATAACACATCTGTAAACAAGGGAAGAACCAGCCTCCGGGCTGCATGGTGCAAGTTCATAATTGTTCCCTGCTCGCGGGAACTGCCAGCTCAGCCCAGCTCTGGACTTGGAGCTTGCAGGAAAAGGAGCGTGTTACAGGAGGCTGCGAATTCCTGAGAATCAAAACCAATACTTCAAAGCACTTCTGTCACGTTTCTGTTTTGTTTGCACTGAAAACTTAAGTTTTCTCAGACCTATTAAGTATTCTCGAGTACCATCTTGGTTTGACAATATCAAACCAACACCACCTAGAAAAGATTGTTTGGGACCTCCAGCCCCTTTGTAGCTTTAGTTAACCTGAGAAACTCATCCCTTATTCACCTCTTGAAAAACAAAATCAAGTCTTAGGAAGATAAAGGCTTCCTCTCTGTCTCCTGTGTGAATTCTGCACACTTAGCCCTTCACATTTCTGTAAAAGAATACAACTGCTTGAGTGACTGATGGATGGAGAAAAAGGATCAGCTCATATCTGCAAGACAAGAGTTCCCAGCACTCCAGAAAGAAGGATTTCACCATTTTTTTTTTCTCAAAATAAAATTTCAATTTCCACATAAGCCCCGTTTAGAGACTGGAACACATGTTGCAGATCCCTGTAGTTGATGCTGCTCTTCTGAGCTGAATTTTCCCCATTGCAGCCAGTGTCAAGCAATATTGGACACCGAACATGCAGAAACCATCCCCAGCCTTCCCTCGTGTCTCATTGACAGTCCTTAACTTCTGCTCTGGCAGGTTATAATGTGAATTATAGGTACTTAAACAAAAATCCTGTCCTGAGAGCAGTTTGTAATTCTGATAAACCCATGAGACACTCTCCAGGTGTTAAGTGAATACACGAGGAGCTGGCTTAATGATTTCTGTTGTAATTTCAAGGAGGTGACTGGAAGAATGCCAGGTACTCATTTTCCCCAAGTCGTCACAAGATGAAAGAATTCTCTATAATCTGAAGTGATGTTTAGGTACTTATTACAAACAAATTTGAAAGGACTCATAAACTCCAGTAACGAACACAGCAATTTCATCATCTTGACGGGTTACACGTGTTTGAAATTGGGGCGGGCAACCAGTATTGGTCTCCAGATGCTCCGATATAAAAGCTCTTCTCTCTCATAGCTCTTCCAAACACTTCCCTTGACTTCTTGGGAGCTTGGGTAAGTCTTATTCTTCTCTACTGCTATCAGTGTGTCTTTTTATTGTCGGTTTCTACTTTGGTTGATGTCTAACACCGATATCGTTGAGTATATCTGCGTTGCTTTGGCACAGAGATTCTAATGCTGTCTCAGGGTGGGGGCAGATACACGTGTCGGTGTGGAGGACCCTCTGGAGTTCTCATGGAAACTCTGGACCATGGAACACTCAGATGTCTCACTCAGTTACTCACTTTAGTCTTGGGTAGTCCTGCAAGTAGCAGGGAGTTGGACTCAATAATCCTTATGGGTCCCTTCTAGCTCAAGAGATTTGATGATTCTGTGATTCTTCAAAATATTGAACCTATTCCAAAGTTTACATGTGAGGCTCATCATTTGATGAGGGCGTCACTATTGCAGCCAATTCTGCCACTTGGGAAGAATGAGTGATGCTTCTGAGAAAATTGTGTGTGTTGTCCTGGTACAGCAAATCTTCTGGCTGGCATTTCTTGCTTTCGTATTCCTCCTCAGAACCCTGTTAAGGACTTGTGGGACACAGTGAGTGGAGGAGAGTAAAATTCCACTTGGAGAAAATTAATAATTTTAGAGGGGAGAATAAACGCTGAATTCTTGGGTTTGTTGAGGAGTCCTGGTTTGTCCTGAAAATAATAATTTGAAATTACTTTTTGAAAGACATTAGGGACTAAAATGTTATTTATATTGAATTTGTCCAGGCAGTGGCTGCGTAGCTGGATAACACTACCTTCTGTCCTTTATTGTCTTGTCAAATGGCTTTTTGAGCAATCTGGGCAGCAACAATCCTGTAATCTGTTGTTCCTACAACTCTCAGCAAAATTGGCATGAGTGGGAAGAAGAAGCTACTGTAATTAAGTTATATATAAAGTACACCTCAC